CAGTTCACTGGTCTGTGGTCCCTCTTTAACTTTTCAGTTCACTGGTCTGTGGTCCAGTGCGTGTGCAATATTTGCTGGGAGCATTATTGTTCAAAATGATGTGTGGAGTAACAAAGGAATTGTTAAAATATCCACATGATCCATCCACCAGATATCATGCTGCTCTTCCTCGTGCACAGACTATTGTTTTGTCTGGATTTATTAGATAAGGATAGCCAGGGAGAAGCTAGGAAGGCCGTGTGATATGTGCAGTAATTATGAGCAGCAATTACAAAGTGTGCAGACCAGGGAGGGAGAATATAAGGAACTGACGCAGAGTCTCAGAGTGGTGAGTCGGGTTTCATTTATCTTGTCCAAGACAACTTCGGTTAAACGTCAGTGTCTCTGAAAGCTCCTATCATTTAGAGCTAGCCTTGAAAAGTGCTGGGGAAAAGACGTGTATTTGAAAAAGCCTACGTGTAATCTTTGTAGTTTTCGTGAAATGCCCAGGAGTTCTCTTAGAAGATTCACAGAATAATCAAAGACTCATCTGCCATGTCGAATGCATGAGGACAATAGGCCTTTGTACTGATGATGTCACACTTTACTTTATATACACACGTTCCTATGGAGCCAGTGGGGGCCCATGATCCACTGAATACCATAGGAAAGCACGCACATACATAAAGTGTGGCATCATCAGTACAGGTGTCTTTTCATTGAGCTTCTAAAAAAGCTTCAGGAGTGTTTGTTGAATCATTTTTTTTGGCTAAAATGTACCTGTATTTTGTGACTTCCAGGAGTTGGATGCTGAAAGGGAAAATGTCTCCAGAGAGCAAAGATTAAGATTGGAGCTTGAGGAGAGTCTACAGAATGCTGCAGAAGACGCACAGAGCCAGGTATGTAGACAAGCTATGTAACAATGAGGACATGTGATTTCAAGCTATCCATGGTGACAGACAACTAAGGTAGGAAGCTTGCGGTAGCGGTGACTCACAAAAGAGATTGTATCCTTGCATGGTGCTACCGCAAGCTTTCCACCTTAATTGAGGACATATAGACCATTCCAAAATGAAATGATCTTTGTTTGGCTTGTTTTCACTTTACGCTTACAAAAGTGTCAAGTCTTTGTTGGTCTCGTCTATTTCTGTGTGTCTTTCAGACCAAAAGTGGTAGAAAGGAGTTGACTAAAACCTGTGTTTCTCTTATTAGGCTCAGCATATCGTAATTAGTTACATTTGTGGGATTGGTTAATGTTATGTATTCTGTAAAAGGACTGAACTGAAGTATACATTTAACATTGGTCTGTAAGAACCGATAACTAGTAAACATTTCAGTTTTTTTTTACAATTCTCTGTTTTTTGTAGATTGCCAATGCTACCACAATCAATCAGGAGTCTGAGAAGTTTCTGACTGATCTAAGACAGAAATATCTGAGGGAACATAATGAAAT